AACAATAGTACTGGGAAGGATTGGAGAAAAATAATCATCTCCTACATTGAGAGTATAATGGAGAAATCTCCAACCCTCGGGGTGATTATTTGGTTGTCTAATCGATAGCAGAGGTGTTAGACACAACCAAAATGATCTCTCCTCGTGTTGGAAACTATTCTGTCATACCCTCGAATAGGGAAAGATTCTGATTCTTTCCAAGGTACATAAACACAGAATATCCTTTACCCTAGACTGGTGTATCCACACTTCCTGGTGTCAGATATCCTCGTCTCACCCTAGGATTGGGATGAGAGGATTCCCCAGTCATAACAAATTTGGACGTATTTGATGCATTAACACCACATCAAGAATGCATTATAAGCCTGTCGCATAAACAGCATTATGAATATGACAGGGTCAGTAGGGTAAGAGAAAAACAAACTGGTGAGATTTAGAATTGCGCACGTTTCAGAGAATAGTGCGTAATATTTGTCCTATAGGTACGTGAGGATCGTATAATAGGGCGAGTAATTCGTGCAATTTGGCATTGACCAATGAGGTAAGAGCATGCGTGTAGGGTTAAGGACACGGGTGGTTGTTATTGTGTCATTCTAGCTTCGGACGTAGAAGGAACATTGAAGATGTAAATTTAAATTGAATTTAAATCCATTTCATATGGAATGTAATGTACATGAATTCATTGAGAATGAATGGGAATCGTGTTTATATTGAATGTATATAAACCCCAGGAAAAAAACCCCGAAAATAACCTGAAGAATAAGACGGACCTTCTGGCCCCCGAAAGGATTTCAGGTTGGTTAGCGCGCTTGTTTTTTTGTAGATAGATACGATTCGAAATGAGAGAGTGCGATTGTGGGTTGTGGAGTGAATTTGTCATAATTGTATGGAAACGTCTTTAAATCGCATTAAATGCAGTTATAATAAATGCCTGTTCTGTCATTCTATCGGCCGAGTAGCTACCTGCATATATCATGGTTGTTGTTTGTTTAATACGAGATGAAGAATTGTAGAGAACGGAGAATTTCCACCCTCTGGGAAGGAATAAAATGCCAAACACCTTTCAAGCCTTGTGTTTGGCGACTATAGAATCTTCCCTCTCATATTGAAATTCCCTTATACATGTATCACCCCCAAGCTGAGTTAATCTATTATCCTAGCAAAAAAAGGAATACGCCTTTGAAATGTGGTAGAAAATGGTTTTTGTCTTGTTAAATATTGTTATGTCAAGGAAACAGGGAACTCTAAATATTTTGTCATGTAAATTTGATGTCAAGATTATCCTTCAAAAAGTAGAAATGTTCAGTTTTTATCCTTCAACACCGGGTGACAGAATGAAAACATTAAAATTTCAACACCATGTGTCAGAATGAAACATGAAAAGTTCAGCACCAGGTGACAGAATGAAACATGAAAATTTCAACACCAGGTGTCAGAATGAAACATGAAAAGTTCTGCACCAGGTGACAGAATGAAAACATTAAAATTTCAACACCAGGTGACAGAATGAAAACATTAAAATTTCAACACCAGGTGTCAGAATGAAAACATTAAAATTTCAACACCAGGTGTCAGAATGAAAACATTAAAATTTCAACACCAGGTGACAGAATGAAACATTTAAATTTCAACACCAGGTGACAGAATGAAAACATTAAAATTTCAACACCAGGTGACAGAATGAAAACATTAAAATTTCAACACCAGGTGTCAGAATGAAAACATTAAAATTTCAACACCAGGTGACAGAATGAAAACATTAAAATTTCAACACCAGGTGTCAGAATGAAAACATTAAAATTTCAACACCAGGTGACAGAATGAAACATGAAAAGTTCAGCACCAGGTGACAGAATGAAACATGAAAATTGCAGCACCAGGTGACAGAATGAAAACATGAAAAGTTCAACACCAAGTTACAGAATGAAAGCATGAATATTTCAACACCAGGTGTCAGAATGAAAACATGAAAAGTTCAACACCAGGTGACAGAATGAAAACATTAAAATTTCATATAAAAAATTCTACATGAGAATTATAAATATTTGTACAAAAACACTGCAGTCCTATACACTGACGCAAATTAACTACATTGATGGTTTGTATCATGTGTATGTGTGACATGTGGTAAGCTGTGTGGATAGTAATGCAGGAAATATTCAGTTTCCGGATAAAGTCACTTCCTGTTTATCTCATCAGAATGAACAAAGTCTTGTTTTATCAAGGCACTGCGTACAATGTGTAGCTTGTAACGAATGCCCTCTCCCAGATAAATTTTCATATTTTCAAATGATCTCCTAGTTACTGCAGGGTGTGTGTAATGATCACAACAGGTGTGTCTGAGTCAAATTAATGCTTTTTGGAGTTATTTTAATTTATTAAAAGGGAAAGATAAATTGAGCAAAGCAGTTTCAGTCGCGTTTCACACACTTTCTCCCTCATTGGAAATGTGGAATGAGGGAGATCTCCCTCATTGGAAATGTGGAATGAGGGAAACCTCCCTCATTGGAGGTTTCAGAGGTTAACACCTTTGAAGAATCCTATCAGATTATTAGCTCACCTGGCACGAAGTCATGATATTTGGCTGAAATCTTCGTTGGTAGGAGCCCTACAAAGTTTGAGAACGAAAATGACCTTGACCTGTTTTCAAGGTCACAGGGGTCAAATATGTCAAAAACTTCAAACAACTTCTTCTGAAGAACTAAAAGGTATATAATCTTCATATTTGGCTGATGGCTTCCTGGGATAGAGCCCAACAAAGTTTGAGAATGAAAAAGACCTTGACCTTCTTTCAAGGTCACAGGGGTCAGATATGTCAAACACTTCAAATGACTTCTTCTGAAGAATTAAATGGTATAGAATCTTCATATTTGGCTGATGGCTTCCTGGGATGGAGCCCAACAAAGTTTGAGAATGAAAATTACCTTGACCTTCTTTCAAGGTCACAGGGGTCAAATGTGTCAAACACTTCAAACGACTTCTTCTGAAGAACTGAAAGGTATATAATCTCTATATTTGGCTTGTAGCTTCCTAGGAAAGAGCCGAACAAAGTTTGAGAATGAAAATGACCTTGACCTTCTTTTAAGGTCACATGAGGCAGATATGTCAAACACTTTAAACGACTTCTTCTGAAGAACTGGTAGTTATAAAATCTTAATATTTGGCAGGTGGCTTCCTGGGAAAGAGCCAAACAAAGTTTGCGAATGAAAATGACCTTGACCTACTTTCAAGGTCACAGCGTTCAAATATGTCAAACAGTTCAAACAGCTTCTTCTGAAGAATTAAAAGGCATAAAATTATAATATTTGGCTGGTGACTTCCCGGGATAGAGCTCACCAAAGTTTGCAAATGAAAATGACCTCAACCTACTTTAGAGGTCACAGAGGTCAACAACATTTTAATGGATTTGTTCTTGAGAACTAAAAGGAATGGATTCATAAGATTTGGCTGGTAGCTTTTTGGAATAGAGCTAACCAATTTGAGAAGGAAAATGACATTGACCTACTTACAAGATCACAGGGAAAAATATGTCAAGCAACTTCTGAAGAAGAATCAAAAAGCATAGAATCTTATAATAATATTTTGCTGGTAGTTTCAACAGATGGAGCCAACAAAGTTTGTGAGGGAAATATTTTTAGTGCAATATAATATTTAATTAGAATATTTTGCTATGACTGCTTAAATATTCAGGTGAGCGATACAGGCCCTCTTGGGCCTCTTGTTAATTTGAACAATAGGTACTAACCCCAGCAGTCTCTGGGAAAAGACCTGTATCACACGGTACTGTATTGTAGTGGGCGACTACAGTTGTGCCCCCTGCAGAGTCGAGGGTTTTCTTCCGTGTCTTGATCTGCTTAGAGGACATGGAAGAGACCAAAACTGATCTGTGGCCCCCATTGCAACATTTGGGATCTACAGTTTCCATTCAGAAGTGTCTCCCTATAGGTACCTGTCATGACCTTAGAAGTGAAGGTTAAACCCCAAAAAGACAACAGATTCTCATCAGCTGTTCTCCTTTTTGAGGAGAGCCGAAGATATTTAATCTCATTCTAACTGCCTAAAACTTTTGATAATAAATATATTGTTATGTTATGAACAGCAATAGTTTTTGTCTAGACGCCACAAAGTAGTAGAAGCGAAACTAATGTGTTGCTTTTCCGGCCACGGCGGCAACGTTAACATTAAGGTTTTTGTGCAACTTTCACTGAAAGTACAAGTGCTAGACCAACTAAACTAATGGACCATATAAGATGCATATTAGGTAGTACATCTCAACCCATGCATCAAAAATGCTGAATGCAGCCTACCTTTCATGGTCCATTGACTTTTTCAGCATCGCTATCAACATTAAGTTTTTGCGTTTAAGTTAGTTTCTCTGAAACTATAAGATACATATCCTTTCAAATGTCATCTACATCAAATTTATTTCACCGATATGTGCATTGATGGTCAAAGCGGGGCATAGGCGAGACATTTCAATCAGAATGGTTGGTTTATCATACATACGAAAAATTAATTATGGAAAAATTTCATTGGTCTTAGCTGCTCTGTTACTTCATAGGAATTTTTGTGAAAAAGGATTGTTATGTATATTAAGGAATTAAATATGTATTTTGTATTTGTAGAATCTCTGAGCCTTTCTTTTAATGTTTTGATTGTGTTAAGGTTATACTTTTGTTTTAGCACCTCAGGTGAAACTTTCCTCGAAAGTGTTGTCCAGAATTGAAGAAGCCCGATCAGTTGGGGCAAAATTGTATTACGATACTGAAAGTAAAGAATCTGTAGCCTAAGGCTTGTTGCTATTGAACAAGTGTTGGCACTTACATAGTCACCAATGGCAATGTTTTCAGACATTTTTCAGAAGACTGAAACATTTCTGTCTTACCAACAGTTCTTGGTTTCATTTTCAAGACAAAATATGCATCATCATCCGACTTTCTTAACACAATTTTTGTAAAATATTAACGGTATCTTTTAATGTTGTTGTTTTTTATTTTCAGTCGATATGAGAAAAGAAAAAGTGTGCGCGGAAGACAAAATCGCATCCCAAGGTTTCCAAAGAAACCAGAGGTTATCGTTCGCGACATTGACAAAAGAAGGGTAAATATTCCTTTTTACAGATTAAATCAATTTATTCAGTATTAAATGACTATAAGCTTTCTTACTCCTAAATTGATAGTTAAGCAAATTTGGGAATTTTTTTGAGTTTATTTACAAGATGAATTAAGCTACTAACAGACTTATCATTCGTAAACGGATCTTCACTGTTTTCCCTATCTTTGTAGATTCTTGCCTGGATGTATATAACTTTTAATGTGAAAAACTTTGTTGGCTAAATATGTACTGAGATATAGGATTCGGGTCAACAGTCGTTGTAGACACAGCTTTATATTTCATTTTCGTGTTGTTTTACAGCGACACTTGGAAGAATATCTACAAAATCTGGTGGATATACCCACTTACCGAGAACATTTTGAGACAGTAAGTTAAAAAAAATTGACCAATTGCTTTGCTTGTTAAACAATGTTAAAAATTTAAAAAATATGATGGTAAATGGTAACAACAAGTTAAATGATATATCACAACCATTGTTGCTACTACGAACATTGTTTAAAAGTCCTTTTCAAAGAAATATTCCATGAACATCACATGTTGCCATGCATTTTACGGAATTGTAGTTGTTTGAAATTCAGTTCAATATTTGAAAATTGAAATAATGAATAATAACCCAAGAAAAGTACAGGGGTTATATTGACCTTTGGACCTTTACATTCCAAAGCCTACACTTTACAATTGTTGCCATCTTGTGATCATACAAGCACGATTTAACATAAAAATGAGTATAAATATGAGCTGCAAAGCATATGGAAAAAAGTTACTCAGTAAGCTAGAAAACCTTCTTTTGGTAGCTTCATCTTCCACCCCACCCCTCCACTCCACCCCCATCCTCACATTACATCTCCAGCACACACGCAGGCATACACACATAGGGAGAGATTAGCCAGGTGGCATAGGACTAGTAGTTAGCGCCTGATAAGGCAGCTCCTGCAAATTCCTCAAAAAATGTATTGATTAATGTATACAAGTATGCTAATTGTATTGATTGTATAAATTGTATATCTCTGTACTGTAAAGCACTTTAGAGTGGCTTAATTGTATCTAGATAGGGCGTTATATCAAATGTTGTATATTATTATCATTACTATAATTTTCTAAATTACTAATTCAGTTTTTGCTTCCTTCAGTTGAAGTTTCTGGAAGTCAGTCAGCTGTCGTTTGTGAAGAAGCTTGGGAAGAAATACAAGGAGGGAGCTATTATGAAGTGTTCCGGGGGAAGACACATCAGTATCGGATGCTGTGGTTGTCTCAAAAAGTTTCACTTGGCTGGGCGATGGAACAAACGGTAAGAACATCTAGTCTAGGACACTTTTATTGAAAGATTGCATTGTGATGCCTGCAACCCTTGTTTCAAGTGCCGTGTGTCCTTGACAAGTGGATACTTGGTTAAGGTTTGTTTGTGTTTTACGGTACGTCCTATTAACAGCTATGGTCATTTAACGACGTGCCAGGTTTTGGTGGTGGGGGGAAACCAGAGTACCCGAAGGAAAACCACCGACCTGTGGACAGTACCTGGTGACTGTCCCACGTTGGCCTCGAACTCGCGACCCTGTCGGCCACCGCGGCATCTGACAAGCGGATACCTGAACCTGGGATGTAAATGGTGCTGTCTTTGGGGGCAAAGACTTAGAAAATTGGTTGTTGGGTCCTGGGTTGATCGCTGGCATTGGGGTGTAACAATATTGATTTATTTTTGTGAAACTCAAACAATTAATACTCGAAGCACCCACCGAAAATGTGTGAAGTGCACTATTTTTAGATCACGGCTGGATCATTTGTTGAGTTCATATGAAAAATACTTTGTTAAGGAATGTTTGAGTAAACTTCCAGGCCAGGGGCAAGCTCCTGACTCAATTTTCTTTAGTAGCGATTTCGTTTTACACTTGTTTCAGTCTTTGCTTGATATAAATTCTCTTCCTGTAATGACTTAAATGAAGAGAATTAATTAAATGAATTGATAACATCTATAAAATTCCATGCTCGCACCATGCTGGTATATCAAACCTTAATTATTGTATACCAGAAATGTTTTGTCACCAGTTAAGTTTTGCATTCTTCACCCTCTGTAATCATCACAGTGAATATTAATTAACAATATTATAAATAGTTATCAAAAGTAAAAAGCGAAATTAACACTGAGCAAATATGAATTTTAGCGATATATAGAGGGAAAAACGTTTATTAGACAAAATTTTCTCCGATAGAGTATCTGCGTGTGGAAAGACTTTCAAAGGTCAATATCTAAAACTATTCGACTTATTTCTCATTCACGCGAGCCTTAAAATGAAAACCTATTAAAAGTTTAATATGAGAAGATGCATTTTTATAGAGGACGTTTTTCACAATATCTGCTAAGAAATTTTTCCTGAACAAATAAAATATGTGCATTAACTACAAGACTTTTTATGAAACATACATTGGCAATCAATTACTTTTAGAATTTAAGCTTTAGGCTTTTTGAATTGTTCTGTACTACATTTTGTATTATTGTGTTTTCCATGCTTACAAGATGGATTGCTACGTTTTCTGTGTAGTTGATTCTTACCACATGACTTTGCTACTCCCAAGAATGTTTTTATAGTAATGTGTGGATAGAAATACAACAATGCTCCTCCAGATAATTGGAGAATGAATGATATTGATTTGAGAATTGATTTGCTATAAAGAGGTGATCAAGGCATCCCTGGTCGCCGTGGCGATCAACAATGCTGTTCCTTTCCATATGTTGTATTGATTGATTTTTAGGTGTCAATACACAATTATTCCAGAGAAAAGGAAGGTAGAAGGGAAATTAGATGTATATAAGACTTGATTGAGTGTGTGTGTGTTCTTTAGGGAGGGGGGTTGATATTTGCAAGAAATTTGACTTGACCTTTGACCTTCTGGCATATTTTGATAGCCTCGGCACATGCAAACTATTTTGTAGTTTATATCTTGGTCTTGGCTATTGTTGACGAAATCTAGAGTTTAATTGATTTAATTAATGGCTCAGGGTCATGATGTTATACAGAAAAAAATCAACTTTGCATAGTCAGACATGAACATAAGGTAATTCCTTACCGTAAGTTTTCTTATTGGAAAGCATTGCTGAAATTAGGGAAAAGTTCCTTAATCAAGATGTTCCTTAACACCAGTGAAGCTTTCCAATAATATCCTTGATTTTAATGAATTTGCTTAAGAAGTTAAGAAGCATCTGTGAATATGTTGATAAGTTTGGATCATCGTGGATTTTAAAATCATCACAGATTCATCTTCACAAGCCAAGTGTTCGCTTTGATTAAAATGCATTCTGGTACATGAAATGGTCCACACGCCTGTAGCCAGAGTTGTAACGCCAGCTATCCAAAGGAGTGTGTAAAACTACATGAATAAATCATAGACAGTGGACCAGTTTTATTGCTTCCTGCACACTGTAACACTCTGAATATGGTTAATTATAGTCTATGTTAATGACTGCTGACGTTAGACAATTTTCTCAGACGTTGATTTCACTGAAGTAACATCCTCTACATTGACCCTAATGGATACTGTTATTTCTAGCTAAAGAAGGTGTTGATTACATGCAATTTAGACAGAGGAAGGATGTCTATCCAATAGGCTTCTGGTTATTAATCAGTCACAGTAGAAGCTCTATATATGGTGGTTATATCAATATTTGTGTAAATTCTATGCAGGTTATAAGGAAGGCAATTTTTTGTCTCGTACAATTATACCTTGGGAGGCACAGTATATTCTAGTACGTGGTAGGATACCGGGCTCGTGACTGAAGGGTTGTGGGTTCGAGTCACGTCACGGCACTGTGTTGTATCTTTGAATAAGACACTTTTAACTCCGCTTGTTCAAGTCTACTCAGCTGTAAATGAGTACGTGGTTGAGCAGTGATAGAATTGTTGATTGCTAGCTATGAGCGCCGAAATGGCAACACTCAGGATGTATATGCTCCCCAGGGAGTTGAGAAAGATATTGGCTAATTGCAAAGGTCCTATAACCACGAATAATAATTTGTGAACCGCTTTGAGACAACCTTTAAACTAGGTTGTAATAAAGTGGTATATAAGAACCTCAAATTTTATTATTATTATTAATTATGAAATGCTTTTCTCCCAGGTTATTTGTACAGTTATATGCTATATTGTTTTTATGCCTCTGCGTCATTAGTTCAGGTGGCATGAAGTGTCTGCCTTTTCCGTCTGTGTATTTGTATGTTTGTTGTCTGTACAGCCATCCTGATTACATCTTGCTGGGTAAAGACTTTGTGTTTAACTCCCTGCTTTAATAATTCAAGTCCAACAGTCACTTAAACCTTCATATGCAGATACAGATTGAGGAGTACATACTACATGAATATATCAAATGTTGATTTATATTTTCTGCTGCATTGACTTTTGTTTAACTAATTGGGTTTCATTTATTGCTTTAAAAATTAAAAATCACCAGTCACTTGAAAATTTATATTTGGTTACATTGATATTGCTATTTCTCGGGAAACACAGGAAGGATCTTTTTCAAATTTGATATGTAAGTTCCCCTTGGTCTCTTGTTGTGTAGGTTAACTTTTGAGATTGTTTGGATAAACAAAATGGCTGATGGGTGGCCATCTTGAATTTTGGCTGTGAAAGTTTGTTATTGCTATTTCTCTGAAATACTGCAGGGATCTGTCTCAAATTTGATATGTAGGTTTCCCTTGGTCCTTAGTTGTGCATGTTTTTGAGAGTGATCATAAAAACAAGATGACCTCAGGATTAGTAAGTACTTAACTGATCTTTCTCATATTGCAATGATCAGATCTATTTCTTTCACATTATAAGAACTGTACTAGTAAATATTTGAAACAACATACTCACCTTTAAGGTTGTCTTTTATATACAGCAGTATGAAGTTTAGATCAAAAGTTACCTCAAGGCCAGCATTTACTGTTTACATAACTCAAACATTAGAGAAAAGAAGAGTAAAGAATTAAGAGAAAAGATCAAACTGACATAGAAGTTATGAAGATAGTACAACAGTGGGTGGTCGGTTGGTGCATTGGATAGTACACTTGCCTTTCACCAAGGCGGCCGGGATCTCTTGTTAGGTCGTGTGCTACACATACACTGATATGTCGAACTTTATATTTGGTTACATTTTTAGGAGTGTAACATATATACTACTATATCAAATAACGGTAAATGTGACCTATATTTTCTGCTTCACTGACTTTGGTTAAAACTTTGTTTATCTCCATTTGCATCATCAAAGTTGAAGTGGGGGTTTAAACTGTATACTCAAGCTACACAAATGCTTTTTTTTTTTTTGTTATTATTATAAATATTGAAAGGGTTAATTTTCGCTGTTGAACAGTGCAGATTGAAAGATGCACCAATAACTAGTAATATCTTTTTAGTCCTTGACAATATGAAACAAAACTTCAAGATTTCATTTCGCTTTCAAATTCGGTTTTTGACTTGCCACCATGAAGTAGCGGAGGCTATAGACTAAGGTATTGCTTTGACCGCGGCGGCGTCAAGATTAAGTTTTTGCGTTTAACTTACTTTCACTGAGAGTATAATTTAATTAAGTGTTACGTACACCAACCAAACTTGGACCATAGATGCATCTTAGGTAGTAGATCTCAACCCATGCATCAAATGCTGGATATAGCCTACCTTTACATGAAAGTGAAAGTGCTCTTAACAACAGATTGCCCCTTCTATTTAGTCCTGTAATATCATACATAAGTTTGCTGTAAGTGAAAGTGCTCTTGACAACAATGATTGCCCCCTCTACTTAGGTCTGTAATATCATACATAAGTTTGCTGTTAGTGAAAGTGCTCTTAACAACAATGATTGCCCCCTCTACTTAGGTCTGTGATATCATACATAAGTTTGCTGTAAGTGAAAGTGCTCTTAACACCAGTGATTGCCCCTCTACTTAGGTCTGTAATATCATACATAAGTTTGCTGTTAGTGAAAGTGCTCTTAACAACAATGATTGCCCCCTCTACTTAGGTCTGTAATATCACACATAAGTTTGCTGTAAGTGAAAGTGCTCTTAACACCAGTGATTGCCCCTCTACTTAGGTCTGTAATATCATACATAAGTTTGCTGTAAGTGAAAGTGCTCTTAACAACAGCGATTGCCCCTCTACTTAGGTCTGTAATATCATACATAAGTTTGCTGTAAGTGAAAGTGCTCTAATTAACAACAGTGATTGCCCCCTCTATTTAGTCCTGTAATATCATACATAAGTTTGCTGTAAGTGAAAGTGATCTTTATAACAACAATGATTACCCCCTCTACTTAGG